GAAGTATTTACTCAGATCCACTGCTTTTTTTTTTTTTCTTTAGGGCACATGCACTCACCAGAGAGAGAGAAACTGAGAAATCACCCCCCAGGGGAGATGGCCACAGTATTCACTTCTCCTCCATTCTCCTCTCAGGATTTTGGGCACCCACAGACATGCCTACCATGATTTTAAAGCTACTGGGACCAGGATTCAGATCTCAGATTTGGCCACATGGGTTCCAGTGCCTTAACCTCCAAGACACCTGCTGGCATCCCCACTGCACATTTTTAATGGATTATATATCTTTTTTATTGTTGAGTTTTAAGACTTTTTATATATTCTGTATACAAATCCCTTATCAGATGAACAGTTCTCAGATATTTTCTCCTATTTATTGGTTGTCATTTCACTTTCTTGATAGTGACCTTTTAAGTACTAAAGTTTTAAATTTTGATAATGTCTAATGTATCTGGTTTTTTCCACTTGAACTTTTTGATGTAGGAAAAGTTTTGGGGTTTTTGGAGAGGTTTTTTTTGTTTTGTTTTGTTTTGTTTTTGAGAGGTTTTCGCTATAGGGCGCGTGCGCTCATCAGACAGACAGAGAGAAACGACAGAAAGCGAGAAATCACCCCCCAGAGGGGATGGTCACGCTGCAATAACTTCTCTTCCATTCTCCTCTTGGGATCTTGGGCACGCACGCACACGCGCCCGGCGTGGGTTTTAAGCCATCAGGTCAAGACGCGAACTGCGGTCGACTATGTGGGAGTCCAGCGACATAGCCATTACACTAACTGCTGGTTCTCCTGATGTAGGAAGTTTTAATAGCTAAAACTTTATAGTGTATAAGTAGAATTTTATTATAATTATTAAAACAGTATGTGCCCGTTGCAAAGTGCTTACTTTATAACAAATCAGTAAAATTTAACAGTGGGTAGTTACTTTTTTCTAAACTTTTTTAGGATTAAATTTTTTGTTTGGCCACCAGTTTGGAATTGTTAAGTAGAAATAAATTAGCCTATAAATTTGAATGTGATAGTTTTTACTGCTTGTAAGAGTTACCATAGTCTTTCAGAAAAAAAAAAAATTAGGATAACAGGTGGCATTTGCAGAAAACAAAAACGTTCCCACATTTGTTATGTGTATTTGCTTTTAACAAATACTAACTGACAGGATCCCCTTGAGAGTCACATAACTTTGTGTTTTTCTTTTTCATTCATTCATTCATTCATTCATTCATTTATTTATTTATTTATTTATTTATTTAGATGTTTTTGCTATATGGCGTGTATGCTCGCCAGAAAGACAGAAAGCAAGAAATCACCCCCAAGGGGTGTTGGCCACACTGCAATCCCCTCTCCTCCATTCTCTTCTCGGGATCTTGGGCAAACACACACAAGCGCCAGGCATGAGTTTAAGCCGCCGCGTCTAGGACTTGAACCGTGGTTGACTACATGAGAGTTCAGCAACATAGCCATTATGCTGGTCCCCTTTTTTTTAAAAAAAGAGATTTTTGCTATGTATGTACTCACTAGAAAGAAAGTGAGTAATCACTCCCAGCGGAGACAGTCATGCCACAATCCCTTCTCCTCCATTCTCCTCTCAGGATTGGGCACACTGACACACACATCTGGTGTAAGTTTTAATCCGCCAGGTCTGAGACTGAACCATGGTCAACTATGTGGGAATCCAGTGACATAACCATTATACCATCTACTGGTCCCAACTTTGTGTTTTTCTTTATACTTTTATAAAGTTTAAGAAAGAAAAACCTGAGACCAGCAGGTGGTATGGTGGTTAAGGTGCTAGACTCCCACATGGCTGTCTGCAGTTCAAGGCCCAGTCCTGGTCACGCCAGGCACCTGTGCATGTGTGCCCAAAATCCCAGCAGAAGAATTGAGAAGAAGGGATTGCAGGATGATGTCTCTTTTCCCCTTTCACTGTCTCTCTGTCTCTTGCTGGCCAGAGCCCATGCGCTATGGCAAAAACAAACAAAGACAAACTTGGGACCAGCAGTTAGTATAATGGCTATGTCACTGGACTCCCACGTAGTCTACCACGGTTCGAGTCCCAGACCCGGTGGCTTAAACTCACGCCGGGTGCGTGTGCGTGCATGCCCAAGATCCCAAGAGGAGAATGGAGAAGGGATTGCAGTGTGGCCATCCCCCCTGGGGGATGATTTCTCACTTTCTGTCTGTCTCTGTCTTTCTGGTGAGCACACGCGCCCTATAGCAAAACAAACAAACAAACAAAAAACTCTCCAAAAAAAAAAGAGTGAAAAAAAAAGACAAACTTTTTGATTATTTTAACTTAAATATTCTTTTTTTTCTTCTTTTTTTTTTTTTTTTTGGAGAGTTTTTTGTTTGTTTGTTTGTTTTGCTATAGGGCGCGTGTGCTCACCAGAAAGACAGAGACAGACAGAAAGTGAGAAATCATCCCCCAGGGGGGATGGCCACACTGCAATCCCTTCTCCATTCTCCTCTTGGGATCTTGGGCATGCACGCACACGCACCCGGCGTGAGTTTAAGCCACCGGGTCTGGGACTCGAACCGTGGTAGACTACGTGGGAGTCCAGTGACATAGTCATTACATTAACTGATGGTCCCACTTAAATATTCTTTTAGTATTTTTGTATTTTAGTTTTTATTAAAAAGTAATACCTGTTCTAGAAATAAAAGCTTTGGAAATGTGTATAGGAAAAATGAAATGACTCCCATTCTGTCCCTCAAACACCCCAATTTTGCTCATAATGGTAGTTACTTTTGACACCTTGTTAACCACTTTTTCAGAATTTTGGGACTATATATATATATATATATATACATACACACACACACACACACACACACACGCACACACATATATACATATATATACACACACACACACACACACACATCAGTAAAGATTCATGCACTTTTTGCACAAAAATCTTTTCTTAAAAATTTAAGGGCAAAAGAATTGAAGGGTAAAGCCATCAGATTTTGATTCTACTACAACAAAATTGTTTTATGGTTTTCAGTGTCTAAATTCTCCATGTAATTCAAAGTATATTGACATTGTAATAAGACTGGCATGGTGACATGTGCCTGTAGTCCCAGCTATATGGGAGCTGAGGCAGAAGGATCTCAAGTTTGAGGCTGTCCTGGCCAACATAATGAAAACCTTTCTCTAAAAAATAAAAATAATTAATTTTTGTAATGTGGATTTCTATCATTGTCATTCTGAAATTTGAATTTATTTGTGGTATTTTAGGAATTGCTTTCATCTGAAACAGAAACTCCGATTTTACCACCGTACTTGTCTTCATCTCTGCCTCCCCCAGAAGAACTCTTTGCTGTTCAAGTTAAACATGTTGTCTCACCTAATGAAGTAATGTAAATGGTTGCTTGGTGGTTAAAACATAACTATCAGTCTCGGTCCTAATTACTAGGATTGACTCTTTGCTTCCCCATCTTCTTGACTTTAAATAATTGAAAATTGGTGACCTCTGCTTTATCTCATCCTATCATATCCTTAGACGTTTGTTAGTGCCAAGTAAGGAAAAGTGTTCTTTAACTACTTGCTGGATTCCCAGGATTGTGAGCTTTGTTCAGTGTCAGGTCATATAGAATATTTAGATTTTAAAGGTGGAACTGTTTCCACCTATGAAATCTGAAACATCTCCCTCCCATCCCCTCTGCATTGCAGTGAATTCTAGTGCTTTTTACCTTGCTCTGTGTTTCTCTATACCGTACTTACCACCTTCTGACCCCATATGCCACTTTCTCATTTATTATGTTTGTCTGCCTCCTCCACTAGACTATAACTTCATGAAGACAGGGGTTTTTATATGTGTTGTTCATTTCTGAATCTCCAGAACCTAGAACTTGCCTGCTATATAGTAGGCACTCAATGGCTATTGATTGATGAATGAATGCCCTAAGAAAAATTAAATTTCTCGACTCACAAGAAAAATATAAATAACAACTAGCATAGACAGTTCCTCCTGCCTTTTACACAGTAAACCATTCTCTTTGCAAAGGAAAGAGATTTGCTGTATAATTTCAAGAGCATAGTAGTGTACAACTGTTACTTGTTTTTATAATTTTTATATTATTTATTGGTATATAACAAATTATCTCAAGTTTATAAGCTTAAAACAACACACCAGAGGGTCAAGAATCTGGGATATGCTTAAATACTCTAGCTCAGGATCTCTGACAAGGTTGCAATCAGATGTTAATGAGGGCTGCAGAATCTACTTCCAAAATCTCACTCACCTGACACTGTGTGGGGTACTAAGTTCTGTGCCAAGGGCCTCTCTGATTGCCTGCTCAAAATGTGACTATGTACACTTCTTGAAGCACACAATCCCCAACAGAGTCACAATGCCACCAAGACAGAAGCCACATGTCTCTTAAAATCCAGTCTCATACACCATCACTTCAGTTGCATCTTCTTGGGCACAAGGTAAGTCTGGTAGGATTTGGGAGGAGAACTCTTACAAGGGGGAAATATTAGAGGCAGGGTTCATTGGAGCCATTGTTGGAGACCATCTTCCATAATTTTGTACACATAAATGAATACTAGGAATTACAAAAATTGAAAGTTTTTTCTTTCCCTTAGGTATATATTTGCCTTGATTCTACAGAAAATTGTAATCAGTTTAACCAACATAGTGACACAGATGACAGTGGAGTGAGCTGGGAGTCAGAGTTTGAAAGCCTTGAAGAAGCTCTGCGGAGGCTTAATACAAATGTGGAGACATTTCCTCCTCTGACAGATTTTAGGACAGGTATGCGTATTATTTTTGAATGAAACAGGATTATAAACAAAAGGTTTTTGTTTTAGTGGACTAACAAATTTGGGTTATTTCTAATGTTACTTAATATTTTCCTTATACTGACTTAACATGCATGATCTCTTTGCTTTTTTATATTAATTTGACAGAGGGCACATGCACTTGCCAGAGAGAGAGAGAGAAAGCAGCCTCCAGTGGGGTGTGCTCATGCCACAATCCCTTCTCCTTTGTTTCTCCATCTGTTGGAGTCTTAGATACACATTTGGAATCCAGCTCCTTTAAACAGTAGGCCATGGGCTACGGCCTTGCATGATCTTTTGGAATCCTCAAGAGATTCTGTAATAGTTGCTGCTCCTGTTTTCTAGATTAGAAAGATGAATTAAGAGTAGTTAACTCACTCCCCTGGGGCACTTCCACTTTCCAAAAATCAAGCTGTGTTGGAAAATTGGCTACAGAAAGATGATTTTTTTTTCTTTTTTCTTTTTTTTTTTTGGAGAGGTTTTTGCTATAGCGCGCGTGCACTCGCCAGATAGACAGAGATAGAGAGACAGAAAGTGAGAAATCACCCCCCAGGGGGGATGGCGACTCCGCAATCCCTTATCCTCCATTCTCCTCTCGGGATCTTGGGCATGCACACACACGCTCCCAGTGGGAGTTCAAGTCACCAGGTCTGGGACTCGAACTGCAGTGGACTATGTGGGAGTCCAGCGACATAGCCATTACACTGACTGCTGGTCCCCAGAAAGATGATTTTTTTCATGAGGCTTTACCACTAACTAAAATTGTGAGACCTGTCAATTAGTCCATGATAATGAGAATCATTTTAATTACAACTCACCTAAGCTGATGATTTTCAGGTGAGGGTTCAGTGTCCTGGTCTGTCAAGATAGTCAAATCCCTACTATCTTTTTCCTCTCCAATCCATTCTTCCCATATTCATTAATTCTCTTATGAGGACTATGTAACATGTTAGTGGTATTGACACCTTAATACCAAGACTAGTGTCTATATATTTTTGTCAATATGTGATAGGTACATAGAGGTGTATTTATTGTTGATATTATGTATCAAAAATACCTTAGCAAAGAAAAAAAATCAGCCCAATATCTTACCTGATTTTTTTCAGAGAGATTTTAATTGTTGTGACCTACTTTTGACTGACATGTAATGTCCTGTTCCCTCTGCCCAGAATGTTCTCCCCCCAGACTGTGCGAACTGTCCCCTTACTGAAGGACCTTTTTTTTTTTTTAAAGCGAAGTTTTCACTATACGGTGCATGCGCTCACTAGAAAGAGAGAGACAGAAAGCAAGAAATCACGCCCCGGGGGGTATGGCCACACCACAGTCCCTTCTCCTCCGAGGATCCTGGGCACGCATGCACACGCGCCCAGCGTGAGTTTAAGCCACTAGGTCCAGGACTCGAACCGCAGTCAACTACATGGGAGTCTGTCCCGACCCGGGGAGACAGCCAAACAGGTTTCCCGAGTAAAGGAGTGAGAGCCGGGACAAGCGGCGTAGTGTTACAGCACGGAGACGACAGTGTCGTCCGTTTATTGTGGGCAGCACGGTACAGCACAGAGATGACGCAGTGTCACAGCTCTTAAGGGTCGCATCGTCTATTGTGAGCAGCACAGAGACGACGCGGTGTCACAGCTCTTCAGGGTCGTCCGGAGACGATGTAGTGTTACAACTCTTCAGGATCTCCCAGGTCGTCTGGAGACTGCACAGTGTTTCAGCTCTTCGGGCTCTTCAGTCGTCGTCTTCCTGGTCGTCCGTCTTCCTGGTCGTTGCTGTCTGGCTACTGTGGGCCAGGCATCGTGGTTATATACACACTGGTGGGCTGTGATTGGTTATAAACGGTGGGTTATGACTGGTTGCTTTTGGACCAATCATGAGGTGCCGGATATGCAAATCTGAGGGATTCTAGTGGCCAATCAGAGCAAGGTTTCGAAGGTCAGGTTTTTTGAAGGTAACCAATCATGGAAATTGTTTGCTCTCTGAGAAACCTCAGCAGACTCGCTGGTGCGCAGCCTCCCACAGGAGTCCAGCGACATAGCCATTACGCCAACTGCTGGTCTCCTGAAGGACTTCTTTGACCTTTCTTTAGAAAGCACTACTCTCTACCACCCCTCTGTTATTCTCAATCCCTCCTGCTCTCTTGTTACAGCTCTCTAAGCAGGTGACTTGGTCACTAACAATTGGGCACTTGGCACAAATTGGTACTCATAGTCAACAAGTGAAAAAATAAACTCATGGATTTTTTTCTTTGGTGGGGGAGGTACGCCCAGATTTATAGTCCGGAAGGAACAATTCCTTTCTCATTGTGTTCTTATTCTAAGCAAAACCACACAGTCTGTGTATAATGTGATGATTCACGAAGCTAGACATGTATTATTTATGCATTTTTCTACAGATATTTTATACTTAAATTAAATTTCTTATTTTTAAGTGAGAAGAAAGAGACATTTTGATAGAATCTTATCATGCCACAATCCTCCTGTCCCAGCCTCCTGAGTTAGCTAAGACCACAAGTGTGCACCACCACCCACAGCTTGTTTAGACTGAACTGGAAACAATCTGGGCCTCCCCTGTAGCCTAAACCACTGCACAGTAGCACCCTCCTGCTTGCACCCCACAGCAACTTGTCATCAATAAAAGTGTTTTTAAGTATGCATATGGTCAAATTGATTCATAGGCAAGTGTCTATTAAATATGTACATTTGTCAATCCAGTGGGAAAGGAAAACCTCTTTAGCAAATGGTGCTGGAAAAACTGGGTATTCACCTGCAGAAAGATGAATCTGAACCCTGACCTCTCACCATTGACAAAAATCAACTCAAAGTGGATCAAATATTTAAATCTAAGACTTCAAAGCATAAAACTACTGGTGGGAGACATTGGAATAGGCAAAGACTTCTGAAATAAGACCCCCAATGCACAGTAATCCCAGAAATAGACAAGTGGGATTATATCTGGTTAAGAAGTTTCTGCACAGCAAAAGACAGTAATTAGTATGAAAAAACAACCCTCAGAATGGGAGAATATTTTGGGGACCAGCAGTTAGCCTAATGGCTATGTCGCTGGACTTCCGTGTAGTTGACTGTGGTTCGAGTTCCGGACCCGGCAGCTTGAACTCACGCCAGGGCGCATGTGCGTGCATGCCCAAGATCCCGAGAGGAGAATGGAGGAGAAAGGATTGCAGTGTGGCCCTCTCCCCTGGGGGGGTATTTCTTTCTTTCTGTCTCTCTCTCTGTCTTTCTGGTGAGCACATGTGCCCTGTAGCAAAAACCTCTCCAAAAAAAAAAAAAAAAAGAACAGGAGAATATTTTTGCAAACTATGCTTCAGATAAGGAACTGGTCATCAGAATACACAGGGAACTCATGCGGTTTACCCCAACGCCCAGAAAAATGATCAACCCAATTAAAAGATGGGAAAATGAGCTGAACATACAACTCTCTAAGGAAGACATATGAACAGCCAAAAGTCATATGAAAAAATGCCCAACATCCCTCATCATAAGGGAGTTGCAAATCAAAACCACAGTGAAATACCATCTAACCCCAGTCAGAATGATTAAGATTAAAAAAACAATAAATGATAAGTGCTGGCAGGATGTGTTGAAAGGGGAACTGTCCTACACTGCTAGTGGGAATGTAAATTAGTCCAGTCACTGTGGAAAACAATATGGGGATTCCTCAAAGATCTACAATAGAACTACCATATGATCCAACAACCCCACTCCTAGGTATCTACCCAAAGGACAGGAGAACGCTAGTTGGAAAAGTGCCTGCACATCTATGTTTATTGCGGCATTATTCACAATTGCTAAGACATGGAACCAACACAAATGTCCATGAACAGAAGAATGGATTGAAAAAGTGTGGCACATATACTCTGTGGAATAATGCTCAGCCATGAAAAACAATACCCTGGCTCTTGATAGAAAGTGGACAGATATGAAGATTACTGCTAAGTGAAGCAAGCTAGGCTATGAAGGAGAGACATTGTGTCTCCACTTATTACATACCAATTATCTGCACTTTATGGCTGAAACTGAAAGATTAGAGGATACAGAAACATAGAAAATGGTTCTAGATACTGGGAATAGGGTAGGAGAAGGAGGAGAGTATGAGGAAAAACATTAAGGAGTAATATAGGCAAGACATTTATGGGACACAAATGGATTATCAGTTGATAACGTGTATAGTATCCCTAACTGGACTGGTGTGATGTGTATTCATGATGGAAAATTAACTTTACAAGCTAAGTGATGTATTAAGATGGAATGAATAAAAGAAATTAAAATATATTAAAAATGTACTTTTAAAATGTTATAAAAATGTACTTTTGAATGAGAAATTTATATTGAAAAAATTGTTTTTGTGGATTAAAATGACAACTGGTTTAAAGTTTTATTTGGAGTGGGACCAGCAGATGGCATAATGGTTACGTTGTTGGACTCCTGTGTAATTGACTGTGACTTGAGTCTCAGAACCAGGTACTTAAAATTCACACCAGGCACATGTGCATGTGTACCCAAAATCCCAAGAGGAGAATGGAAGAAAAGCGATTTAGATATGACCATCCCCTGTGTGGGGTGATTTTTCACTTTCTGTTTCTCTGTCTCTGTCTCTCTGGTGTGCACACATACCCTCTAACAAAAATCTCTCTTTAAAAAAAAAAAACAACAAATTCTATTTGGAGAAATGAAACTTCAGCTGTGTTTTTAAGTACCAACTGTAGACAGTGATTCAGTTAATTACTAAGTAGAACAGTTCTAATAGATGAGATTCTTTATTGTTCTACTGACTTTATACTGAAGAATCTGCTTATTACTTTAATAAAAAATCATTTGAAATGAAAATCTTTGTACCTTAGAGTCATGTAGTATTTCAGTGCCACTTGCCTTCAGCTATATTTTTCTTTGTGGAATTATGTGTTAAGAAAGTATGAAACAAGGAAAGAGAAGAAAGAGCAAGATGGAGAAACTGAGGCACATTCCATTTTTACTCTGAAATCTAACAGTGTATGGAGAGAAAGGAAGTACATACTATGCTAACTTTTCCGTTTTACTCAAGCCTAGCATTCATTAACACATGTTTACTGAGCACTTGCATGTACCAAGTACCATGTTAGGAACAGACTACAGTTCTGCACACAACAGTATGTGGTCTAGAGAAGAGACAGGTGAACAAAGTACAGTATGACAATAACAGCTCATTTGCAAAGAGGGTCATAATACTGTATGATCACAGAGGAAGATCAGTTAGTAAGCAGTGGCTAGAAACTCATGTTGGGCGCATTTGTGTGCGTGTGTGTGCCCACAATCCTGAGAGGAGAATGGAGAAGGGATTGCCATCCCCCCAGGGGGTGATTTCTCTTTCTCTCTCTCTCTCTCTCTCTTTCTGTCTCTCTCTGTCTCTGTCTCTGTCTCTCTCGTGCTCTGTAGCAAAATTTAGAAACCCTGAAAAAATTTTAAGTCTGTTCAGGCAACTCATTGAGGCTATGTAGTAGTAGTTGATAAGGAAACAAATCCTTCAGTTGCGGTGCTAAGAACTTGATATGCAAGCAGTTCAGATGCCATTGAATTTTAAACAAGAGATCTATGTAATTGAATAATAAAAGTTTAATCCTGATGGCCTCATAGAGAATGGGTTAGAGGACAGAATTGAAGACAGGAACAACAAAAACTGTATTTCTTATCCTTTGCAAAGATGATGGCCCAAACTGAAAGAGATTCTGAAATGAAAATGAGAATAGTGTGCAGCATGATTTCAGCCATGGGCCGTAGAAGTAGCAATTCTGAGAATGAAAAGTGCCTTTCTTCAAAATTTAATCCTTAGGAATTAGTAAAGAAGGGTTTATAAAATTAAAAAAAGGAAAAACCAGCACAAGGCTAGTTGGTTAGTGTTTAATTCTGGATGGTGGGTATATGGTTGTTAAATTTTCTTTATTGTACTTTTCTGATTAAAAAAAAAAATTGTGGGACCAGCAGGTGGCGTGGTGGTTAAGGTGCTGGACAATCCCACATGGCTGACCAGGGTTCGAGTCCTGAATCTGGTGGCTTGCTTTCTCACTTCCTCTCTCTCTCACTCTCACCCTCTGTCTCTCTCTGGTCAAATTAAGAAATAAATGAATGAATAAATAAATAAATTGTGAGACTAGCAGTTAGCATAATGGCTATGTCGCTGGACTCCCACATAGTCTACCGTGGTTTGCATCCCGGACCTGGTGGCTTAAAACTCACTCCAGGTGCGTGTGCGTGCGTGCCCAAGATCCCGAGAGAAGAATGGAGGAGAAGGGATTGCAGCATGGCCATCCCCCCTGGGGGGTGATTTCTCACTTTCTGTGTCTCTGTCTCTCTCTGTCTCTCTGGCAAGTACATGCGCCCTATCGCAAAAACCTCTCAAAAAAAAATTGTAAGTCAACAAAAGACAGTATTAATATTTTTTCTCCTTTTCTGTTTTTCCAGAAATGCCTTGCCTTGCAGAATATGATGATGGTTTATGGTATAGAGCAAAGATTGTTTCCGTAAGAGAATTTAATCCTTTATGTGTCCTGGTACAGTTTGTTGATTATGGATCAACTGAAAAGCTAACCATAAACAGGTAAAAAAATAAAGTAAAAAAGAATTAGGATTAATTTTTAACCAATTCTTTATTGGGAAGAAAAGCCTCTCCTTTTAAAAGAAAAAAAAAAACTATTTGAAAGCTGTATATATTTAGAACTTTTTAATCTAGATTTTTCATTGTAGTAAAAGACACCATTTTAACTATTTTAAAGCACATTTGCTCCCCAATGATGGGATTACATCATAATAAACCCGTCAGAAATTGAAAATATCTTAAGCAAAAAATACATTTAGTACAGCTAGCCTGTGGAACATCGTCACCTAGCCTGCCTACCCTCCATATATTCAGATACAGTAGCTTATAGTTGGGCAAAATCATCTAACACAAAGGTTCTTTGTAATAAAATATTGAATAATGTACACAGACAGGCATTTCGTAAACATAATAGGATGGAAAAATGAAACATAGTTTCTAAAAAACGTGGCAACTCTAGAGTAAGTTCTGGTTGTTTACCATCATGGTTACGTGGTTGACTAGGTGCTGTGGCTCTTGCTGCCACAGCCCAGCATCGTAAGAGAATATCCTGTCTCTCGCTGATGAAGAATTTCACTAGCCCAGTGTTTTCATCCTTTTGTGTTGCTATAACAGAATACCGGAGCCTGAGTAATATATAAGGAAGAGGTTTATTTAGTGTATATCACTAAAGGCTAGTCTAAGCGCATGGTGCCAGCATCTGCTTGACTTCTGGTGAGGGCTACATGCTGCATCACAACATGGCAGAGAAGTGAACAGTCAAGTGGACTATGCAGAAAGGGAGCACATGTGTCAGACAACCAGAGACGGCTGCTTTTCATGCCAGCTCACCTGATAACCCATCATTCTGTTAATCCATGAGCGGATTAATCCATTCATGAGAGCAGAGCCCACACAAACTATTAATAGTCACCTCTTTATATTTTTAGAGAGATTTTTGCTATAAGGCATATGTGCTCACCAGAGAGACAGAGAGACAGAAAGCAAGGAATTACCTCCCAGCAGGGGTGGCCACACCACGATCCCTTCTCCGTTTTCCTCTCAGGATTTTGGGCACCCATACACACGCACTCGGGACATGAACCACAGTTGATTATGTGGGAGTCCAGCGACATAACCATTACGCCATCTGTTAGCCTCTAGTCACCTTTTCATTAAGCTCCACCTCTTAATGCTGTTACAACGGCAGTTAAGTTTCAGATGTGTTTTAGTGAGGACATACAAACCATAGCCTCATAGAAAAAAATCAAAATTCAAAGTACAATTTCTACTGAATTTATATCACTTTCACACCATTTTAAAACTGAACCGTCATAAATCAGGAATGTATATAAGTAATTGGCATTAAGGACACTGTTGTACAATTACCACCACTTTCCATTTCTAAAACTTTATTTTTCCAAAATGAGGACTGTACCCACTAAACAGTAGCATCCCATTCCATCATTGCCTCGCTCCTGAGATTCTGTATTCTATTTCATCCCGATGCATTTTCCTATTCTAGATACTTCATATAAAGTAAAATCATACAGTATTATACTTTTGCATCTGGCTTATTTCACTTAGCATAATATTTTCAAGATTCATCCATGTAACATGTCAGAATTTCCTTTCCTTGTAAGGTTTAATAATATTCCATTTTATGTATATACTACCTCTTATTTAGCTCTTCATTTGCCATAGATAGTTGGGTTACTTTTACCTTTCAGCTGTTTTGAGTAATGCTCCTACAAACATGGGTGTATAGATATTGCTTAGAATGTGCTTTTAGTTATTTTGAGTATATACCCAGAAATGGAATTGTGGGGCCAGTAGGTGGCATGATGGTTAAGGTACTGCCCTCCTACATGGCTAACTGCAATTCAAGTCCCAGACCTGGTAGCTTGCTTTCTCACTCTCCCTCTCTCTGTCTCTCTGGTGAACACATGTGCCCTATAGCAAATTATAAAATAATAAAATTAATAATTTAAAAAAAAGAAATGGAATTGTCAGATCATACACTAATTCTCTTTTTAGTTCCTTGAGGAACTATTTCACTATTGCACTATTTCACATTCCCACTAACAGTTTTTTTGTTTGGTTTTTTTAATTTGACCAGAGAGATATAGAATGAGAGAGAGTGAGAGAGATGGAAAATGAGAAAGCAAGCCATCAGGTCCAAGACTCAACCGTGGTTGGCCATGTGGGAGTCCAGCACCCTCAACCACCATACCACCTGCTGGCCCGTCTTACAGTTTCTTCACATCCCTGTCAATATGTATCATTATTTTTAATAATATAATAGCCACTACTAGGTGCAAGATAGTATCTCATTGTAGACTTGATTTGCATTTCTCTAATGATTAGTGATGTTGAATATCTTTGTCATGCGCTTCTTGGCCATATATCTTCTTAGGAAATTTTTTTTTTTTTTTTGCCATAGGCTGCATGTATTCACTTGAGACAGGAAGAGGGAACATATTAAGTCATCCCTCCCCCACCCCAACAAGGATGGCCACACCACAATCCCTTCTCCATTCTCCTGGGATTTTGGGCATGCACACACATGCACCCTGCATGATTTTCAAGCCACCAATTCCAGGACTCAAATTGCAGTCAGCCATGTGGGAATCCAGTGACCTAACTACCTTGCTACATGTGGTCCCCCCAAAAATATCTATTTTTAATAGACATATTTTCTCCCATTCTATAGGTAGCCTTTCACTGATTGTGTCCTTTGATACTCAGAAGTTTTTAATTTTGATGAAGTCCATTTTCTGATTTTTCTTTTGTGGCCTGGGCTTTTGGTGCCATATTTTTAAAAAATTACAAATCTAATGGCTTGATGCTTTTCCCCATATTTTCCTAAGAGTTTAATAGTTCTAGCTATAAGAAAATTGTAATTGTGACATTCTGAACATTTTAAGAATTTCTTTTGTGACAGACTGCGTCAAATTCCCCTTCATCTTATGCAGTATCCAGCCCGAGCTATAAAAGTTCTCTTGGCAGGATTTAAACCTCCTTTAAGTGATTCAGGAAAGACGAGAATACCATATTGTCCCAAGTGGAGCATGGAGGCATTATGGGCTATGATAGACTGTCTTCAAGGAAAACAACTTTATGCTTCTTCCATGGTAAAAAATATATCTTAATCAACATTCTTCCAAACCTATTTCTTCATCCCCTGTTTACTTTGTAAAGTGCTTTTTGTTTCTATGCAACTCTACATGTAAAAATGCAATAAAATTATATAAAGTTTTATATACTATAGGATAAACTTTAAGGCTTGTTAAAATGATACCTTAATTTATATTTAATCAACTTTTTTAATACCCCTTGATAATGTATCATTTATGTAATGACTAGGGAAAAAAAACAATCAAGATATGCACTCTGTAATCAAGGAATCTGTAAGTTAAAGGAAACAAACATACAAGTTAACAAAGTACAGTGAATTTAGTATTATGATAGTGATACAGGCTACTTTGCAAGGGAGTGCGGGGCAAAGATGAATGATGATTTCCATCTGAAGAGATCAGGAAACACTGTTTGAGCAGCTTCCTACTAAGTACTCAAGTGCTTAATTGAATAAGTGACACAGGAAAGTGGCATTTAAGCTAGATCCCAAAAGATGCGGGGGGGAAAGAACCATGGTTCTGATGATAGAAAGGCTTGAATTATATTCATTTTAGTAATCTCATAATCATGCTAACTATAATATGGTAAACCTGTATCAGCAAGTCAAAAAAGAAATGCCAGATTGTGTTTACTATAAAAAGCCTTTCTTCTTTGAAGGCTTAGCATGTTAGCAAGTAGTCTATAAGCAGAATCCGGCCACATGATGTTTTATTTAGTGTAGTGTTTTTAAAATTGGAAAAAAAAAAGTGTGTATTCCTGGCTTCAAGTTAAATATAAAATCTAGGAATCCTGAGTGCACCTCAACTGCAGTAGTGTTAGATGGGGACAGAGCTTTGGTTTACCCTAGTGATCACCACTGGTAATCTGGCCCAACCAGCTTTCTTCCTTTGCCATACCTGCCCGGCCCCATGATTTGGATTCCTATCTACTGACTGTGACAGAAATGAGCTCATAAACCTAGAAAGCGCTTTTGAAAACTCATGTAGCTATCATGTTGTTGCATATGCAGAGTGATATGAATAGCTCACGCAGGACTTCTCTCAAGAAGCCAGTAGAAAATACAAAGTGTAACAAAACTTTTTTTTTACTTTTATGAATAACATTCAATATTTGGTCAGTTTATGCATAAATGTATAATGCTTTATGTGTGGAATGGAAATGAACTTTTAACAGAGATGATGTTAAATCCCACTGGCTCCATCAAGAACAACATTGCAGGGAGGAATTACAATTTAAATAGAGCAGAATAGAAGGAACTGGATTTAGCAGGAAACCATCACAGATGCCTTTTGGAAGTACAGAGTATAATAAACCAGGACAGGACAGTGGTACAGCAGTAACGCATAGTGCTCTACGAGGCAGACCTACATGGGAAGGTTACTGGCCCACACTGGAGACCTCCCTTGAGTACACTAGGCATACATTCGGCCGTGATCTGGTGCCAGCTGAAAGCAGATGGGTCATGGCATTAAGATCTTGTCAGAGTTGGTCTCTCTCTCTCAAGGAATAAATAAAATTGTATTAAAGAATCCTAAATAAAGTGAGAGAATACTTTTTCCTTCCTATGCAAATGGCCCGAGGTAGGAGGGAAAAGACAGCAAAGATACTAATTGTTTTCTTGATAACTGTATCTTTTCATTTTAGGCTCAGGTGCCAGAACAAGTGGTGACATTATATGAAGATGAACAGTATCCAGTTCATATGTCATTAGTAGAAATGGGGCTTGCAGATAGAGATGAATGATGTAAGTATATATTCTTGTGGAGCAGTGACATGTTACATGAGAAATAGTGACATTATCTGAAGACGAACAGTACCCAGTTCATGTCATTAGTAGAAATGAGGCTCGCAGACAGAGGTGAATGATGTAAGTGCCAGTTCTTGTTCATTCCTGCACTCACCATGTGATTAATATAGCAGAGAGTAATGCTAAATTGCTCATAAAAGCACCCTTGTGTTTCCTTGATTTCTCAAAGGAATGACAGCAAACACCAACAGAATCTCTTTTCTAGATTTCTTCATAGGCCTTTCTCACCTAATAAGTACCAGGATCAAAGAGGTCTCAGATCTATGAGAGTGCTTGGAATGGCTATCATGTCTTTCATAGTACCAAATCCACAGGGGATGAGGAGGAAAGAGTAGACACCATAAATATAGAACTACTGAACAATCAACCTCCAATCACAATGTTATTAAAGTACGTGGGTAGGGCTAGCAGACGGTGTGAAAGTTAAAGTACTGGATCCCACATGACCGACCTGGCAGTTTAAGTCCTGTACCTGGCAGCTTGAAAGTCATGCTAGGCACCTGTGTGTACATACCCAAAATCCTAAGAGGAGAATGGAGGAGAAAGGACTGTGGCATGACCATCCCCTTGGGGGGGGGCAATTTCTCTCTCTCTCTCTCTGGCAAGTGCACACACCCTATAGCAAAAAACTTAAAAGAAAGTACTTGGGTAACCAGCTGTTTATCATGTCCATTCTATTCATATGAATCTAGCAAGCAATTCAACACTAGATTTGTTGAACATTAACTTTAAGCAAAGGTTCAAAACAGTACATTCTGTTTTTCAGGTACACAGTGCAGAATATCTACAGTAGCCCAGAAGAAAGTTTTGTTAATGTTTAGACCGTTCCAGGCTGTTTTTCTGATTTGTTCTGCAATTTGCTTTACCCTCCTTTATTCATACATGTTGAACTGTTTAGAAATTGTGTGACAGAAAGTCAGAAAAAAATAGTTAATAAATATTTACTTTCAAAGACTGTCTTGTTTTATTTTACTATAATTTCAAAATGAAATTGTTTAGGCACATGGGAAAAAATTAGTTCACTTTATAGCTAATGACTCAGATGAATAAGACATTATCGATATAGTTGATGGCCTCCAATACCACTCCCCAATCACATTCTCTTCTTCCTTTAGAAGTAAACAGTATTGGGAACCAGCAGTTAGCGTAATGGCTATGTCGCTGGACTCCCACGTAGTCGACCACGGTTCGTGTCCGGGACCCGGTGGCTTAAAACTCACGCCGGGTGCGTGTGCATGTGTGCCCAAGATCCCGAGAGGAGAATGGAGGAGAAGGGATTGTGGTGTGACCATCCCCCCTGGGGGGTGATTTCTCGCTTTCTATGTCTCTGTCTGTCTGTCTGGCGAGCGCATGCACCCTATAGCGAAAAAACCTCTCCCCCCCCCCAAAAAAAAAAGTAAACAGTATTATAATTTGGCATTTGGCACTCTTATAAATGTCTCTATTTTACTATATGCAAATGCTTCGATACATGAAATATAGTACTGCTCTGTATATTTTGGAATACATATGGTATCACACAATTAGTTTTTATTTTCTATTTTTTTATTTGCACTATTTATTTATGTTGGTAGGTGTAGCTCTACTTCATTCATTTTCACTGTTCTGTGTGCGTAATTTATTCTATTGTTAGATATTTAGGTTATTACCCGGTTTTTTGCTTTTAGTTTTGCCACAGAGTGTGTGTGCTACCCAGAGAGGGACAGAGAGAAAGAACGAGGGAAAGTGAGAAAGCAATCCCCAGGGGGATGGCCACATCGCAATCTTTTTCTTCCATTCTCCTCTTGGGATTTTGGGTACACAGACCCAGCACCTGGTGTGTTTTTTCAGGCTGCTAGGTCTGGGACTTGGACCATAGAGTTAGCCATTTAGGATCCAGCTGCCTTAACCACCATGCCACTGGCTGGTCCACCAGTGTTTTCTTGATTGGAAACATTCTTCTTTAAAAAAAAAAAAATTATACATATATAATTTTATTTATCATTATTTGGGGGGGGGTTGAGAGAATTTTACTATAGGGCACATGCATTCAACGAAGAGACAGAAAGCAGGGAATCACTCCCCAGGGTGGATGGCCATGCTGCAGTCCCTTCTCCTCTGTTTTCCTCTCAGGATCTTGGGCACGCACATACACGTGCCCGGCATGAGTTTTAAGTCACGGGGTCCAGGACTCAAACTGCAATTGACTACGTGGGAATCCAGCAACATAACGATTATGCCATCTGCTGGTCCCCTTTATTATTATTTTTATTTGCTACAGGACACATGCACTCACCAGAGAGAGAGAGAGAGAGAGAGAGAGAGAGAGAGAAAGAAAGCCACCACATCTGGGACTTAAACTGTGGTTGGTCATGTGGGAGTCCAACACCTTAACCACCACACCACCTGCTAGCCCCACAAATCTTCTGCTGGAGACTCTGGAAAAAATATTAAGCCATTTGAAAGCTGAGGTGTGTCCCGGCCTGTTAAGGAAGCTATGCTCTAAACTCCATCTTCTAGACTCCCGAAATATTCAGACAAGGTAGAGGACCTCTGTCCTCTCACTGTCTCTGGCTAGCTGTCTCTCTCTCTCTCTCTCTAAATTTTTAATGTTTTTTTTTTATTTTTTTATTTTTCAACCACTTCTCCTCACCTTGGGCCTTTTCTTTCACTTGCTAATTTCAGAAGCCATTTGAGGTGTGTCCTGGACTGTTTGCACAGCGCACTTTTCATCATTTACGTGTAAACTATTTTTTTCCTCTTTTTTGGTAGTATTTTTCTAGTTGTTTTTTTTTTTTTTTTTTTTTTTTTTTTTTAACCTTCCCTTCCCACTCTAAGCTTCACTCTCCACACATTGAATGTCTAGTTAGGCCTTCGTGCACAGTAGCCAAGCATCCGAATACTTTTAGAGTCATTGAAATCCTCAGTGCTTATTGAACCTCCTGCTTTAAGGACAGAATTTCTTTTGATATAAAATCTGAACTACTAATCTCTTTCTGTGGATACCACTTTGCAAAGCACAGTGAAGGAGAGATTTTTCTGTCACAGAATGACCAGACATTACCAAATAGGCACAAGAAACATGAGAAACCAAGAAAATATCTCTCCCCTAAGGAAAAAGAACAATCCCTCATCATCCACAGACAGTACAGTAGAACTAGTGGAAATATCTAATGAGAATTCAGAATATTCATAGTGACAAAACTAAATGAGATGCGAGAGCTGAGAGATAATGAACTCCAGAAGATGCAGGAAAAAAGACGAGTTCCAGGAGGTACTAAGTTATCCATGACCTGAAAGAGGAAATACACACTATAAAAAAGAATCAAATGGAGCTATTAGAGATGAAGGCTGCCATTCAGGAAATCAAAACCTCCCTCAAAAGTATTAAAAGCAGATTAGTCCATGCAGAAAATTGAATCTCAGATGTTGAAGGCAAAACCTCTGATCTAGAAAAAAAAAAAAAAAAAAAAAAAAAAAAAACTGAGAAAATAACCCCCAAAAATGAGAATATCATACAAGAAATACTAGACAGTATTAAGTGCCCAAATTAAGTGCCCAAACATCCGGATAATCAGTATCCTAGAAGGTGAGGAAACTAATAAAGGCATTGATAATCTATCCTGTGAAATTCTGGAAGAAAACTTTACAAATCGAGAGAGGCATTCAAATATCCAGACCCAAGAAATACAAAGGACCCCAATAGAATCAACCCAAGGAGATTTTCTCCAAGGAACATAGCCAGACTGGCCAAATCTACAAAGATAAGATACTGAAACTGGCAAGGGAGAAACATCATGTTACTTATAAAGTTATCCAATCAGGCTAACTTCAGACCTCTCATCAGAAACAATGTGAGCAAGGAAAGAATGGGAAAATATATTCAAAGTGTTAAGTGAAAAACAGTTTTAACCAAGAATACTATGGCCAGCAAGACTACCTTTCATATGGAAAGAAAGAATAAAAACATTCTTAGATAAACAATACCTGAAAGAATTTGCCAATAGTAGACCCACTCTTCAAGAAGTTCTGATAGGAGGGCTCTACCAGAAAAACTAAAGACACATACAGAAATAAGAGAACAAAAGGCAACCAAGAAAATGACCCATTTAATGTTAGGGACAAGAAATATCAATAATAGCGTTGAGTGTTAACTCACAGGATTTAAACGGAAAGATTAGACCACAGGAACACTGCATATTCAATAGAAGAGTGTTTGAACATAAGACTTAACTGGCGAAATAGAATTTTATGACTTTTGAGTGAAATAGTACTGATTTTTTTTACTATGCTTTGTTTTCCCAGTTTAAAGTATTTTACTTTCTTTTGAGTTGTTGATAAGTTCAGCAATTTATTAAAATATTTTTCTTGTTTGTTTCTTTAAATAAAGACATAAACTTTTCTTCCTTCCTGACCCCTCTGAAATTGGAAAATATTTGGGAGTATTATTTTGTGGCAGAAGGGTTATAATAATGCTTGTTGCATTGAATCAGAAATTGGAAGTACTCATTATTGCACAGGGCTTTGACTATAATGTCATATCTGAAGATTATCAGAAGACTACGGAACCAAGGTGGATCTCAAGTAAATTAACGGAAGCTCCTAGAAAGATGGCCTGGCCCCATAAATAGTTCTGCCTGGCAGAGAGGATTAGAGAAGATATGTGAAAGAATTTATAACATAAAATAACCTGGACTTTTCTAGCCTAGCATTGTAATCAGTAAAGATTGCAAGAGAAACCACACCAGAGGATTATTTTAAGACTTTGAAGGAAGAAAAAGAGACTGATCTTTGCAGATGGTATATTATAGAATACTTGGTAGACAGGCTGAACTGAGAAGGTTCATGTGTGACTAGTGTGCTGGGCATTTGCTTTTCAACAATTTGAGTAGTTGACATGTAAATATTGTTCTGGTGGAATCTGCTTTACAAAAGTAGTTTTACTAATAAACCATCAGTTGTCTGAGTTCTTTTACAGCGGTTAATGTAGCAGATCTTTATTTGCCAGAATAATTACTAATTAGGTCATCAGAAAAGTCATGACACGTTTTCCTATGCAAAAATACATCATGTCTTTTCTGATGACCCAATAGTATAGAAAAGATATTTGGGGCTACCAGGTGGTCTGGAGGTTAAGGCAGCTGGCTCCCACATTGCAAACCGTGCACAGTTGGGAGTCCTAGACCCAGAGACTTGAACAACATGCTAGGTGAGTGTGCCCAAAATTCTGAGAGGTGAAGGGATTGAGGCATGGCCATCCCTCCTAGGGGGTGCTTCCTCACTTTCCCTCTCTATTTCTAGTGAGCACACCTACCCTATAGGGAAAAAAAAGGATCTGTTTTAATACATGTCCACTGGTTTATTAGTTTCCACTCGTTTATTAGAGTTAATGACCATTGTGTCACTTGTTTATATCCTTGACCATTTTTCTATTGAGTTGTTTGCAATTTTTTTTTTTTTTTGGAGAGGTTTTTGGGTTTTTTTTCGCTATAGGGCACGTGCGCTTGCCAGACAGACAGAGACATAGAGACAGAAAGCGAGAAATCACCCCCCCAGGGGGGATGGTCACGCCGCAATCCTTCTCCTCCATTCTCCTCTTGGGATCTTGGGCACGCACGCACACGTGCCCAGCGTGAGTTTTAAGCCACTGGGTCTGGGACTTGAACTGTAGTCGACTACATGGGAGTCCAGCAACATAGCCATTACGCTAACTGCTGGTTCCCGAGTTGTTTGCAATTTTCTTACTAGTTTGCAGGAATATTTTATATATACTGGGGAGTAATCCTTTGCCTATTGTGTATCTTCTAGTCTGTGGCTTGTCTTTTCCCTTTTTTGTAGTATCTTTTCACTCACTTACCAACCTTTTCCTAGAAGGTTTGTGCTTTTTGTGTCTCGCCTCCTAATCCTTCTTCATCCTGAGGTGTGTGTGTGTGTGTGTGTGTGTGTATGTATGCATATAACCTCCCTTATTTTCTTTGAAAATTTTTTTTTCCTTTTCTTTTTAGGTTGCTATAGGGCACTCGCCAGAGAAAGACATAGAGAAGCAGGGAAGTGAGAAATCACACACACACACACACCGGGAACTAGCCATGCCACAGTCCTTTCTCCATCCCCTCTCTAGAGTTTGGGCATGCACACACATGTGCCCCACGTTTTCAACCCACTGGTCTGGGATGCTAACCACAGAGTTGGCCATGTCAGATCCAGCTGCCTTAACCTCCGTACCGCTTCCTGGCCCACCACTTTGAAAAGTTTTAGTTTGAGGACCAGCAGTTAGCGTAATGGCTATGTCGCTGGACTCCCATGTAGTCGACCGCGGTTCGGGTCCAG